GTTCAGTGGGAGGAAAGTGTCCATCACTGAGTCAATGGGGGGAATAGTGCCCCATCATTGGTATCAGGGGTTGGAATAGTGCCCCATCATTGGGCAGTGGGGGAGAATAGTCCCCATCATTGGGTGTCAGTGGGATAATAGTGCCTCATCATTGGTGGTCAGTGGAGGAATAGTGCCCCATCATTGGTGTCCGTGGAGGAATGGTGCCCCATCATTGGTCAGTGCAGGGAATAGTGCCCCATCAGTGTGTCAGTGGGGAGGAATAGTGCCCCATCATTGGTGGTCAGTGGGAGGAATAGTGCACCATAATTGGTATCAGTGGCGAGGAATAGGGTCCCATCTAGGTATCAGTGGCGGGAATAGGTGTCCCATCAGTGGGGGTCAGTGGGAGTTAGTTGTCCAATCAATTCGGTGGGCCAGTTGGGAGGAATTGTGTCCCATCATTGTATCCTGTGGGGGGAATAGTGGCCCATCCATTGGTGTTCAGTGGGATGAATAGTGCCTCATTCCGTTCGTTGCCAGTGGGAGGATTTAGTGCCCCATCGTTGTGTCAGTGGGAGGAATAGTGCCCCATCGTTGGTATCAGTGGGATGGAATATGCCCCATCTTGGTGTCAGTGGGAGGAATAGTGCCCCCATCGTTGGTGTCATGTGGGGGGGAATAGTGCCCCATCGTTGGTGTCAGTGGAAGGAGGAAATAGTGCCCCCCATCGTTGGTGGTCAGTGGGGGAGGAATAGTGCCCCATCGTTGTGTCAGTGGGGGAGAGGAATAGTGCCCCCATCATTGGTGTCAGTGGAGGGAGGAAAAGTGCCCCATCGTTGGTGTCAGTGGAGGGAGGAATAGTGCCCCTTCGTGGTGTCTGTGGGGGGAGGAATAGTGCCCCATCCTTGGTGTCAGTGGAGAGGAGAGAATAGTGCCCCATCGTTGGTGTCAGTGGAGGGAGGAATAGTGCCCCATCGTTGGTGTCAGTGGAGGGAGGATTAGTGCCCCATGGTTGGTGTCAGTGGGGGAGGAATAGTGCCCCATCGTTGGTGTCAGTGGGGGGAGGAATAGTGCCCCACTCGTTGGTGTCAGTGGGGGAGGAATAGAGCCCCATCGTTGGTGACAGGGGGCGGCATGTCATCCCGCCCACACCTGGAGCCCTCCCACCTTTCTAGAAACCTGAGAGATTTCTGGAAGAGGGGTGGAGAGAAGGGATCCTGGCCAATCCCCTGGCAGGAGGCTGGACATATTGACTAGGACAACCCTCAAATGTGGCAGAGCCTGGGGGGAGGTGTGCAGTGTGGGGTGGAAGATGGATTGAGGCAGCAGCCCCCCCCCCACCCCCACCCCCTTATACTTACCTGAGCCCCATCTCGATCCAGCGATGTACAGGAAAGTCTTGCTGTCACAGTTCTCGCCCTTTTCATTGGCTGTGCCAGTAGCAGGAGCCATTGGCTCCCGCACTGTCAGTCATAGCCAGAGAACCAATGAGGAGAGAGCGAGAGTGGAGCTGAGCCGCAGCTGTGTGTGAATGGACACACAGAGCAGCGGTTTGGGAGTGAACCTGCTGGAGTGCCCCCCATAGCAAGCAGCTTGCTATGGGGGCACTTGGCAGGAGGGAGGAGCCAGGAGCATTGGCAGGGGACCCAGAAGAGGAGGATTGGGGCTGCTCTGTGCAAAACCATTGTACAGGGCAGGTAAGTATAACATGTTTTTTTAAAAAGTTTCCTTTACAATCACTTTAACATATCATACATTCACATCAGTCCCTGCCCTCGAGGAGCTTACAATCTAAAGTCCCAATCTTACATACATACACACATACTAGGGCCAATTATCCAAGCAGAATAGAGGAAACCCACATGATCACAAGAAGAACATGCAAACTCCATGTAGGTGGTATCCAGGTTAGTATACAAACCAAGGACCCGAGTACCACTTAGCCACTGTGCTGCCCTAAAGGGGAACTCTGATGGAGAGATACCACTTCTAGAGCTCCCAATATCTATAAGAAACTGGTAATGCAGCATCCTACCAAAACTGACACATAGATTGTAGCTGAAATAATAATAATTTGCCATGAATGAGTGTAAGGTGACTTTTGTTTGCAGATAAAACCAATTTGCTGTTACCTTATATGATCATGGATACAAGTTCATTACAGATGTCTATCCTTGTTGAGTTGCTTCCATTCCCAGTAACTTTCCCAGCCATACCACGTTCACTTACAGCCGTCACTGTGTACCTTTGATGAGTGTACATGTGGTGCATGTGCTGTACATCACATCTTTTCAACCCTAGCTGTCATTTCAAGTCCCCATGCTGCAGCCAGCTCTGTCTGTGCTGGAATGCTGGGCAAAGAATGAAATACAAATGGATTTTTCCTTGTGCAACCTATGATTGCAATGGCAGATGCATTCAGGTGTGAAGGGGTTAATGGCAGCCTTTGAAAAAAAAAGAAAAAAAGAAGCTAAAAGGGGAGGAGATGGGGAGGATCAGATTTTAGGGAGAACTGGATCCCCTCCTCCCCAGGACTGCAGGAACAAATGGGATATTCATCTGGAGCTTGTCTATGCCAGAGAACCTCCCAGAGGGAAATGAGTGGAGGCTCAGACTATAGGGCGATCCTCCCTATAAAACCCCTGTAGGCTGATCACCCCTACTACTGGGGGGACTACTGCAGGGACAGACATGAGCAACCGGCTGTGTGTGCTGCTCTTCTGCCTGCTCCTGGCTGCTCGCAGCTCTGCACAGCAGCCCAGTGAAAGGTAAGGAGACACATCAAGGCTGGAGAGAAGGGGGACCAGCCTTCCCACTGTGCCCATCCACTGGTACCTGGCTGCTCTGGGACCCCTCTGCTTTGTTTAACCCTTTACACACCATGGGGAGGGACTGCATGAGAGCAATATGCTACTTATCATACATGACCAACCTTCCTCTTACTTTATCAGGTTCATTCCAGAGGGCAAACCCCATAACACTCATCTGTCATTTTCTAGATGGTGAAAGGATGACACGTTGTTGCTGTAGGTGACCAAAGTCAACTGTCATTTCTTAAATAAATGAAGGACGAAATGGGGTTTCTATAGGTTACTTTACCCAAAGGTCATTTTCTAAAAGGCTGAAGAATGAAATATAGTCGATATAGGTTACTAAACTCGTATGTAATTTTCTAATTAATAATGCAGTCTGTAGGTTACTAAACCCAACTGCCATTCTCCTAATAGCTAAATTGTGGTTGCTATAGTTTACTGTCATTTTTCTTTTTTAAGAGGCTGAAAACTGACACATGTTGCTATAGGTTACTAAACTTATCTGTCATTATTGAAGGAGGAATGAATTGTGGTTGCTATAGGTTACTGAACTTATCTGCCATTATTGGAGGAATGAATTGTGGTTGCTATAGGTTACTAAACTTATCTGCCATTATTGGAGGAATGAATTGTGGTTGCTATAGGTTACTGAACTTATCTGCAAGTATTGGAGGAGGAATTAATTGTGGTTGCTATAGCTTACTAAACTTATCTGTCATTATTGGAGGAGGAATGAATTGTGGTTGCTATAGGTTACTGATCTTATCTGCCATTATTGGAGGAGGAATGAATTGTGGTTGCTATAGGTTACTGAATTTATCTGCCATTATTGGAGGAGGAATGAATTGTGATTGCTATAGCTTACTAAACTATCTGCCATTATTGGAGGAATGAATTGTGGTTGCTATAGGTTACTGAACTTATCTGCCATTATTGGAGGAGGAATTAATTGTGGTTGCTATAGGTTACTGAATTTATCTGCCATTATTGGAGGAGGAATGAATTGTGATTGCTATAGCTTACTAAACTTATCTGCCATTATTGGAGGAATGAATTGTGGTTGCTATAGCTTACTAAACTTATCTGCCATTATTGGAGGAATGAATTGTGGTTGCTATAGGTTACTGAACTTATCTGCCATTATCGGAGGAGGAATTAATTGTGGTTGCTATAGGTTACTGAACCTATCTGCCATTATTGGAGGAGGAATCAATTGTGGTTGCTATAGGTTACTGAACTTATCTGTCATTATTGGAGAAGGAATCAATTGTGGTTGCTGTAGGTTACTAAACATATCTGTTATTGGAGGAGGAATCAATTGTGGTTGCTATAGGTTACTAAACGTATCTGTCATTATTGGAGGAGGAATGGATTGTGGTTGCTATAGGTTACTAATCTCATCTTTTGTTTTCTAAATGGCTCATGGGTGACATGTGGTTGCTATAGTTTACTAAACTAATCTGTCAGTTTGCACATGAATGAAGGATGAATTGTGGTTGCTATAGGTTACTAATCTTATCTTTCATTTTTTTAAAAGGCAGAAGACTGCTATGCGGTTGCAATAGGTTACTAACCGTATCTGTCATTATTGGAGGGAGGATGAGTTGTGGTTGCTATAGGTTACTAAATGTATCTATCACTATTGGTGGAGAAATGAATTGCAGTTGCTATAGGTTACTAATCTCATCTTTCATTGTCTAAATGGCTGAAAACTAACACGTAGTTGCTATAGGTTCCTAAACTTATCTGTCATTATTGGAGGGAGGATGAATGTAGTTGCTAAAGGTTACTAAACATATCTGTCATTATTAAAGGAGGAATGAATTGTGGCTGCTATAGGTTACTAATTTCATCTTTCATTTTCTAAATGGATGAAGCCTGACACGTAGTTGCTATAGGTTACTAAATGTATCTGTCATTTGGAGGAGGGATGAATTGTGGTTGCTATAGGTTGCTAATCTCATAGGTTATTCTCTAAATGGATGAAGGATAAACTGTGGTTGCTATAGGTTACCAAACTCGTCTGTCATTTTCTTTATGGCTGAAGGATGAAGTGTGGTTGATAGTGGTCATCTGTTATTTTAAAAAAGGATGAAGGATGAACATTATTGCTGTAGGTTACTAAACGTTGCACAGCATCACTGTATACAATATAAAGTAAAAAAAAAAATGTAAATGTATATAAAATTATGCTTTTGGTTACTAATTCATTTAGTAACTGAGACTCCGTGAAAGCTAAACTCTGGGAAAAATAAATGTCCTCCTTTGCAATTGCGCTGCCTCTGCATTTCAAGGGTTAAATGCATCTAGGTGACCAAGAAAAGCAGTTTTACTTACCCGAATCTCTGCTCTTGCATGAGGTTTCCGCACTGCTAAACCAGACCCTACAGCCTCCTCCCCCACTACACTGTGGCAGTCTGATGCCCTCTGACATCATTAAGTACAATGCAGGATCCATAGCCCTGCATTAGATGTGAGGATGCCAAGGGACAGTCCATCGCTGGAGCATAGGGGAGAAGAGGAGAGAGCCAGCTGCCAAAGAAGAAGGGGATCGTCTAAGTATAACTGCTGTTTCCAGTACCCTAATACTAAGTGGGGTTTACCTGAGGTGCGGGGTCAGCCCCCACTGCAAAGGAAGGTTTTTACTGCCAGAGTTAGGCTTTTAATGTACTTTTAGATCAACCATTCTCAACTATGTTTCCTTCAGAGGTTGCTAGGGGTTCCTTGAGCGGATTGATCCCCTGTCTGACCATCAGTCTAAAGGGGCACTCCACTGACCACCAACCAGTGTAAGTCCTCTCCAACTGACCACCATCTAATGGCACTTCTCTTACTGGTAATCATTGTAGTAATATTACTATCAATGTAAGGGGTCACACCTCTTCACTGAGTACCATATAAGGGGTCACCTCTCCACTGAGTACCACGTAAGGGGTCACTTCTCCACCAACCACCAAGTAAGGGGTCACTTCTCTGCTGACCACTAATGTAAAGGTCCACTGTAATTGTTAATGCCTGCATTTCTTTTCTGGCATATATTAATCATTTTCATTTGATGATTATTACTGAAAATAATTTTATCATAGTTTAGGGTGCTGCTAGAAAAACTTAATGATCTATCATGAACTGTAGAGAATTATTTTATAGTAGGGCTTCCCTGAGACACGAAATGACTTCAAGGGTACCTCCAGAGTAGAAAGGCTGATAAAGATCTTCCAGAATACGAATATTCTATGCACATTCAAATATTCAGAATCCACAGGGTCTATTTAAAGCTGGCCATAGATGGATCGAAATTCAGCTGGTTCAGCAGGAACCGGACGAGTTTTGATTCATCTATGGGCAGGCTGTGTGTACAGAAGTCGATTTCTTGACCAACGTCTGTACAACTAGCCTGCTGGAAAACATTAACTTGATCAGTACCGAGAGCTATAGCCAGTGGTGCTGATGAGTATATTCTGATGGTGGGAAACACTCCCCACTGTCAGAATACAATAGCTCCGTGGGAGGGATTCCTCCATCCACATAGAATATGTGGATGAGGAAATTGATTTATTTTCTTTTGATCAACCCGCTGGTTGAACGAAAGAAAATGAATCATGTAAGGCCTACATAAGACTTACATATCCACTGGTTTACTGCCTCATGGCCACTGACCTAATAGCAAAAAAACAGGCAAAGGAAGCTGATCACATGTGATACTTTGCACCCTGGCAAATTTGACACAAATTTGTTTTTTTTAATCTTTTTATTGGACATGTTTTATAGCAAAAAGTAAAACATATTGTTTTCCAAAAATGTCAGACTTGTTTTGTTTATATAATAAAAAATAAAAAAAAAACAAGTGGTGATCAAATACCACCAAAGGAAAGCACCGAAGGAAGCTGATCACATGTGATACTTTGCACCCTGGCAAATTTGACACAAATTTGTTTTTTTTTAATCTTTTTATTGGACATATTTTATAGCAAAAAGTAAAACATATTGTTTTCCAAAAATGTCAGACTTGTTTTGTTTATATAATAAAAAATAAAAAAAAAAACAAGTGGTGATCAAATACCACCAAAGGAAAGCACCAAAGGAAGCTGAGCACATGTGAAACTTTGCACCCTGGCAAATTTGACACAACATGCCGAGTTGATTTACAAACTTGACCAGTCAAATCAATATGGCTGCACCACAATATTGAGCCAAAAACTTGGCTCGCAGTTGTGGCACACTATCCCTATTATAAATTGGTGATCATCAGAAAAAAAAACAGACAAATCGACTCCTGAGTGCCTGACAGCAGTTACTTAGATGTTCTCTGAAAAGCAATCCACTTGGGATCGCTTTTAGAGCATCGGCTAGTGTGAATCTAGCCTTAAAGTACCTTGTATATATATGACATCAGATAGTGTATATTTTTGACACAAACATCCTGTACAGTATTATGATCCATCTACAACTTGTCAACCAGCTACTGTACATGTACTGTGGGCCGGCGGTAGCTACAGGTACAGCGACGTACAGGTATGCCACTGCCTGTCTCCGGGTTTGGCGTGCACACACTCCCTCTGTCTACTCCCCTGTGATTTGCCACAGGGGGAGTCTGTCAACAGATCTCTGCCAATCATTCACGACTGGGACCTGTTGATCAGCTGTTTCAGATCACAGCCTACAGCTTTGTGTTAGTAAACAAAATGGAGCTGTGTACAGAGGGACAGGTCGCTTTATTTATTTTCCTTGCAAAGCAGGGAAAATATATGCATCGATGTATAGTAAAAAGCAGCACACAGTAAACACATTAACACTTGCTAGGCACACAATTAACCCCTTGATTGCCCCAGATGTTAACCCCTTCCTACCCAGTGTCACTGTATTTGTGCCACTAGTGATGTCAGTTGCAGTTAGTTAGTTCCCACTCAGTGTCAGTTAGTGTCAGATTGCGTTCCGTACTATCAGAGTCCAGTACA